TTCAGCAGCAACAGCAGCAACAGCAGCAGCAACAACAGCAGCAGCAGCAACAGCAGCCGGAGCATATCTCTGTTGCTGTTATTCCATTGCTCATAAACCTACCCCCCAAACCCTAAACCCTAAACCCCAAACCCTAAACCCTAAACCCCAAACCCTAAACCCCAAACCCTAAACCCTAAACCCTAAACCCTAAACCCTAAACCCTTATCTCACCATGTGCATTAGCTGTTTTTTTTTTTTCGTGCATTTGTTCTGCTGCTGTTTGTGTTGCAGCAACGAGAGCTTCTAGCTGCGGCAGCTGTGTTTTTATTATATAAATAAATTTATGTTTAGCTGTATTTAATATATCTTTTAGTTGTTTTATTGTTTGCTGCAGCAGCAGAGCAAGTGCTGCTGCTCCTCCTTCTTGTTCTGTGAATATAAGCAGCTGCTGCTGCAGCAGTTGTGCTTCTTTTGCTGCTGCTGCTGCTGCTGCATCTGCTGCATCTATTGCTGCTTGTATATCCTGCTGCTGCAGCTGCAGCACATCACTCTGCTGCTGCCCCTCCTCAACAACAGCACGAACAGCAGCAAGAGTCAGGCTTGCTGCTGCTCTCTCTGCTTCTGCTGCTTCTCGTTTTGCTGCTGCTTCCTGTCTAGCTAGCTCTCCCCCCAATGCAGTTAGATGCACTACACGCCGCTCCACTGTCTCAGCTAGCCCCCTGCTGCTGCTGCTGCTGCTGCTGCTGCTGCTGCTGCTGCTGCTGGGGTTTGTTAAGGATTGTTTCAAGCTGTCTATGTCTGTGTTTATAAGCTGCTGCACCTTCTCTATTTGTTCTTTTATTTGTTTGGCTCTATCGAGGTGCTGCTGCGCATGCAGCAGGTGTTCGTTTGCTTTGTCTTTATATTTCTCCAGAGTCTCTTGTATACTCATATCTGCTGCTGCTGCTGCTCCTGCTGCTGCTGCTGCTGCTGCTGCTGGGGGTGTCTTGGCCTGCTGCAGCAGCCGGGGCCCTATTGCTGCTAGTATTGCTTTTGTTTCTTCTACCTGCTGCAGCACGTCTTCTCTTTGTCTATTAAAATGCTGCGATAGCTTTGCTGCTGTTGCTGCTCGTTGCTGCGCTGCTGCTGCTTCATCTGCTGCATATGTTGCTGCTGCAGCAGCACCTTCTGCAAGCAGCCGTTGCTGCTCTTTATGCATCTGCTGCTGCTGCTGCTTTGCTTCTTCTCCTATATCGTGCAGCTTCTGCTGCAGCCGTTTTAAGTCCTCAGCTGTCTGTGCTGCTTCTCCATAGAATTCGTTTGCTTGTCTTTCTGCGCTTCTTAGTGCTGCTGCTGCTTTTGCTGCAGCAGCAGCAGCATCTTCTATAAGTTTCTCTGCTGCAGCTCTTCTTGTTGCGAAAGAATATTGTTTTTCTAAGGTGGACCATTGGACCTGACCATTGGTCACCTTGTTTTGTGCCTCTTCTACATCCTCCATAAGAGTTTTTATAAACTGATTTGCTGCTTTTCTTGCTGCTGTTGTTTCTTCTTCTCTTGCTGTTAGTGCTGCTGCTAGCATCTTCTGCTGCTGCGCTGCCTGCCGCAACCACTTGTCTCCTTCTTGTATAGCTGTAGTTGTTTCGCCGATGAGCCGCTGCAGCTGCTGCTGCGCCTGCTGCTTTGCTGCAGCAAGAGCTTGTTTAGTTTTTTCTGCTTGCTGCTGCAGTTGTTCCTGTTGCTGCTGCAGTTTTGTTCTCAATCCAGCAGCAGCAGCAGCAGCTTTCTCTTTTATTTTTTCTCCTTCTGCTGCTGCTGCTAGCGTATCTATTGCTTGAGCCCTCAGCTGTATATCTGCAGNGTATTTATTATTTGTTTTTGTAGCAGCAGAATATCTTTTTCTGTTTCTGCTTTTTGTATATCTTTATTTATATTATTTATATATATATTATACATATTTATAAACGTATTTTCTTTGTCTTTCATCTGCTGCAGCACAGCATCAGCCTCACCCATCAACTGCAGCAGCATTTTCTTTTGTTTTAGCTGCTCCATACCGGATAGAAAGGATTTAGATAAAGAAGCAAACTGCTCCTCTGCTCTCTGCATATGCTGCACCGCTGAGGTCATCTCTGCTCCGCTGCTAGCAACAATATGTGTGAATTGTAGTTCTAGATTACGTAATATTTTTCTTGCTGCTGCTGCTGCTGATGCTGCTGCTGCTGTTGCTGCTGCTCCTCCTGTTGCTGCTGCTGCTGCAGCATCAGGATTTACACCCATTAAATTCTCTGCTGCTAAAGACAGCAAACGACCAGCTTCTGCTGTCGCCTTCACTGCTGCTCCATCAGCACGCTGAATACGCTCCACCATCTGCATGCAACAGCAGCAGCAGCAGCAGCAGCAGCAGCAGCAGCAGCAGTAGTAGTGGTATTAGTAGTAGTAGTAGTGGTGAATATAAATACAGAAGCAACAAATAACAGCTGCAGCAGCAGCAAATGCAGGAGCATATAATACAGCAGCAACAACAGAAGCAACAGCAGCTGCAGCAACATTTGAGAAACAACAGCAGCAGCAGCAGAGGCAGCTACAGCAGCAGATGCAGCAACAGCAGCAACAGCAGCAACAGCAGCAGCAGCAGCAACAGCAGCAGCAGCAGAATCAAGAATAGAAGCAAAGCAGCAGCACGAGCAACAGCACTGTTTCTGTTTCTGCTGCAGCCGCCTCTGTATATCATTCACAACTCCTCAACAATAAATAAATAAATTAAATAAATAAATAAAATAAAATAAATAAATAAAGACAAACCTGTTTGGTAGTTTCTAGTTCTGCTGTAGCTTGTGCTTCTAGCTGTGC